TTCACTGCAGTTTTCTCCCAGCATTTAAATCCCAGAGAAGGACTGATATTTATCGTCGTTATTTGCGAGGTGCTTCACAGTTCCACCGTGAATCTGTCGATGACTGCTCTCTGAAGGCCTCCTGTCCCTTTAAATCTTTTATAAGCATTACACAACAGGTCCAGTGGCACACAAGCAACAAACAACCCGAAAAAGAAAGCTCACAGGGTTGGGTCGAGGCAGCCAGGGGAAGGAACCAGACACCTACAGACAGACAGGCCCTCTGATCAGAGTCGTCACTGTGGCTACCACGCAAACACACTCGCACACATAGCCTCACACACAACCAACCACAACAAACAAACAAAACGGGTTTTGCTTGGTCAGTCTGAAGCCTGATAAGGACTCGTAAATGCCGTGGGGATTTTGTCCTTCCTCCCATTGTGAAAATCAAAGTTGATATTTTGAGGCTCATGCTAGGGCTCCCTGTTCTGGTCTTTAATCAGTTTAAAGACTAAGTAGTATTTGTGGGAGTTGTCTTTGTAAAGATGGAGGAATTAGGGCAGAGAGTGTTTTCGCAGTTTTAAAGCAAAATCCGTTTGATTTGAAAAAGAACAAGGATCGTAGAAAGGATTGGGTGGTTATGTACTTTGTTGAAGCACTTGGCACGAAGTCGGTGAACTGGCCACTACCTGTCGCTGCCCCACCCTCCCAGTGTCTCATAGCCGTGTTTCTGCGTCACAGCTCACATTGCCTGCGATTGACTGCTACTTCCCTGCTTTTCTCTTTTAGTGGCTGGAGAGCAGCATACAATCATCCTCTCTATTCTTTTGAGCAACCGAGAGAAGAGGATTTGTCAAGGTCTGTTTGCATAGAGCTGCAGGTGAGCCCGTGTGTTAAAGACATACAGTACAGTGGTAGGATTTTCTGTGTATCTGTTCTTTTTTGGCCCATCACACATCCACGAAGCTTGGATCAAGTAGCAGATCAGCCGCGTGGGCGTGTTAGAGAGAAATAGATTGAGACAGAGAGGTGTTCTGGTGCTTTCTCAGTGCTTTTCATTTCATCTCTCTCTCTTTATCTGCCATCATCTGCTTCCCTTCTCTCGGATTTCTGAACAAGGTCAGCAAATTGAACTTACTTTGTGTGTACAAACCCGAGCAAAACCATCATATAGTTGATCACGCTTAACGTCCCTCAGCCTGCCTTGGACTGTCATCTTCTTCCATTTAGAAACAAGATATGAGACGGTGAGGCTTCAAACTTGTCGTGGCTTTTACCGTTTCACTGGCATGAATTAGCATGAGACACAGACGTAGCATTGTTTTAAAAATGAACCGTTTTATTTACGAACGTTAAAGCCTCTAAATCCAAGACTTAACATCACACAGCCTCTGAATGCTCCTTTCAGCGTGATCTTGCAGATCTTACTGAAGTCGACTTTCCCACATCCAGTGTGCGACTCTTTTGTGATTAAATGCCATGGATGTTGTGTCATTTTGTTGTGGGTGTTTAGTTAACGCATAATTCGCTTCTGCGAACAGAGCATTATATTCACAGAGCTGCCAACTGTTCTGTGAGCATTGCCTCTGAGTGTGACTCCTGTTTCTATAATAAATAACATTTTAGGTACCAGATGAAAATACGTCATCTTAGAGGAGTAATTAATCCAGTGTCAATGAAAATAAGTCCTCTCAAAAGGATGTGCTGAGTATCCCAGTTTGTCTGAACTTTATGACAATTTTAATTGCAATATAAGAATATTGTTGCATACTTCTAAATCTAGGCTGTCTCCCAACTTAGTCCCATATCAGCGAGAGCTTCACATCTGGCGTATCTGTCCTATGCTCCATGTTAATTACAGAACACGCGGATATGAAGCTATGTGTGTATCAGATGCAGCATCAGTGCCGCTTCTTTGTTCTTTCAATCGTCTTTTCATTTCAGTTCAAGTGAAATATTCCTCGCATCCACTTTATCAAAGTTGTGCATGGTGCTTGCTCATATTAAATCCAATTCACAGTGAAAAGAAAAAACGTCTGTTGGTAAACTTTTTCTATGTTAAATTATTATTTTCCACTGTTTTCTACTAAAACTGAATTTATGTTTCTGGCTGTTCTAGGTTCTGCTGAATTTTACACCAAAGGAGACGGCCTGTCATCAGAGGTTCCCCCTTTGGAAGCTGGTTTCAGATGGTGGCTTAGAGTATTGTCATCTATCTAGCACCATTTGAAATCAGTGTTCTTGGGGCGGGAAGTAAGTTTCAATGACCAGCTCCAGGCAGCTGTGAGGTGTCAAAAGAAGTGCCCGGTGATAAAGGTACAACATGGAAATGTCACCACTGGAAGATGGAGTACCACTCGCAGAACTACAAACTTCCTGTCTACACTGACGTTTGCCAGCTTGTGCTTTTTGTCCTCTTTCCAAGGTTGACCGATTTCTTTCGGTGTTCAGAGTCTGCTTCTGTTTCTAGCACCATTTGAAATCGGTTACAGTGAAGGACAGATCTCATCTTACCTTGAGGAGGATTTTGCAACAAAGTGGTCTGCTTTTTGTTTTTTTTTAATGGCCTTTGTACAATCTATAGACATTGATATGTTTATTTTTATTTTTTTTAAAGAGTCTTTCGGGGTATACAACTCAAAAGTTTTGGGTCACCCAGAAGATCCCAGATTTTGAATGAAACCTTTAACTTCCATCCACCCACTTTCTTAACTGCTTATCCAGTTTAGAGTAACAGAGAAATAGTTCACTATTGCACCACCTGACTAACCGTTCACATTTACAGTTACTTTGGAAACACCAAAAGTATGTCAGCACGGTGGGATGTTGCAACATTGGAGAACATTAGAAGACTCACACAAAAAAAGTATTAGACAAGCAGGAGGTTCAAGCCAGAAATGGTCTTGCTTTTGAGGCAACAGCGCTGTGGTATTTATTGATGAGAAATTTCACAACTTGAAGCAAGGAGCCACAAGTTGGAATTTTTTAATGGGCACTTCTTACATACCTTATTGTCAAGATGTTTCCACAACAGCTAAGCAGGATTATATTCTCATGACAGAATAACAGCTGAAAGCTTCTTTTCGACATTTTTTTTTGCAGTTTGTAGCTGTGCCTCATCATTGTCCTGTTATCGTGTTCCCACTTAAAATTTGTTTCTCAGAATGACCACAAAATGTGGCTGCATCATTGAATTGCTAAATCTCAATTTTCATGACTTTAACTGTTTTTTGTGATGTTTCTTTTTTATTGTTAAATAGTTAAAACCCAGGACATAATTAGGACATTTATAATTAAATAGAAAATGCTTTATTATCAATTTTTTTGTAGAAAACTCTTAAATAAAAAGTGTACGCAAACCAGTAAACAAATTAAAAACAGTAGTAGTACTGTTGAGAAACTATAATACAAAAATTACAATTAAAATTCTCAACAATACAACTGGTGAAAATAATATGTAAACAACTTAACAACCCCCAAAGTGTCTAAGTTACATCACGAGACTGTGCAACATCTAAACACGAGGGGGAAGAGGAAGCAAAGTGCGCCTGCTCTGCGCTGACGCAGGAGCGGCGAGTCCAGCGACCTGGCTGTTTCGTCTTTGCCAAAAGCACAGCATTGCAAACAAGAGCGGAACTTAAAGTAAAGAATTGATCTCACCAAGCTAGTATCGATCCGAGACCGATTCCGACTTGGTATCGATACAGTGGATATTTGGATCGATCCACCCACCACTACTCTAGAGTGATTCTAGCTGGCATATGCACACCTATACAGTACTGTGCAAAAGTCTTGAGCCACACATCATTTCTTTAAAATTTCAAGCAGCCAGACATTCTTATAATTTTTAAAAGTTGTTTTGAGAAATAACTCTCCAGACTCTTTGAAGGTCTTTCAAAAGTTTCATTCAGCTGTTTGGGTGATGTTATGTTTTTTATTTTACTTTTTTTTGTCTTCAACCATTTTCTGTACAGTCCTTGCACCTGATCTTTCTTTTTTTTTTTCATTTGTTAAACCACTTAAAAGTGACGTATTATCCAAAGCATACCAGAGGCACCTTAAGGTGAAACTGAAGACATCATAAACCAGTGTTGTACCTACACATAAGACAGAATTTGTATTATTCTTTCAATAGGCAGCCTGTCACAGGAAAAAAAAAAGTTCACATTTTATCTATGGAACATACCAAGGCTAACACAGTTTGACAGGTGAAAAATATAATTCCAGCATCAACAAAGTGATCCCTAAAGAGCTACACTTGGCATTTCAATATGCCCTTAAACAACTGAAGAAACTGGAGAATCGGAGGACAAAAAAGTGTCAGGCCTCTGGAAGTCATGTTATTAAAAAAAAAAAATCAGCAAAGAGCTGACACAGGACCTGAGAGATACATCTGGCCCTTCAGTTGATTCCTCTACTGTTCATTGACGAGTCATCGTCTCAGTGGAATGGTGGCAGTCAGGAAGCCATTCTTAAGGGAGTGTGAGGAACACTAAATTACACAAGAACTCAATTGAAAATCACTAACAAAGGTCTAATACAGTGATCGATGCAACTTGGATTTTTGGTACATATTGTTATTGATGTGTATGGAGGTGGTCAGTGAAGAGGTAGACCAGTGAGTGTATGCAAGTGATTTGTAAAACAGGGTGGAGGCTTCATCATAATTTGGGGATGCATTTCATTGAGTGGTGTGGAAATTGATGAGATTTTGAACTCAGAAAAGTATCATCACATTATGTTCCACCATGTAATAAAAGCTCTTCCAAAAGAAAAGACTGAATACATACTGTATTTTCCATGTATCCTTGACTGTTTAGATATATTTATAAAAACAAAATCAAAACTTCCTAGCATAATATGAAGAAATCAGTGGTGAACCAATACTTTTTTTTTTTTATAACGGTTGAGTAGCAACAATAATATACTTATTTTATTTGGAATTTTTTAATCCAATTATAAATCTGTAAAAGCTTGTGTACATATATGCACATTATCAAGAGGAGCTTGGCACACAGTTGTCTTCATTCATTTTATTTTATTAATATAAAATTTTGTCCCAAAGACAACAATTTAAATCTACTTAAAAAGAAAAGATTTTATTTGAATAAATAAATATTAAGCAAGACAAGTGTGCTAATACTCAAAATATTTATCTTCATGTCCTGAACAGTGAGTAGTCAAAAGATCATTAAAAAAAAAAAAAAAAACTGATGCAGTGACAGGATGATATACACAAAGACGTTTAAAAGACATGAAATCCAAGTTTAAGATTTTTTTTTCTCCCCCTTGTCAATGAGACCTTGAAACTCAATCCCAAAGAGTTGATTCTGTTCATCATAGCATTTCCAGAGAAACGTTTTTCATCATTCATCCAAGTGACTTCTTTCCAGAGAAACGTTTTTCATCATTCATCCAAGTGACTTCTTCAGTCTCAGCTGAGACTGAAGACGAGTCCAGATGAACAGAATCAACTTTTTGGGATTTCCTTTCCTGGATGATTGAGCATACATTAAGAGACTTTAAACTCATTTTGGCAAATTCAAAAAAAACAAGGTGCTGACATTATTAAAGGCCAAACACTGCAGGCAGTTTTTATACCCAATAACTGGGTTAACATTCATGAAATTCACAACTATTTAAATGAAGCACAAGCTAAAACAATCAAAAATGCCTTACATTTAGGTTTGGGGCCATTTTACAGATCCAACTTTCTTCTTTTTTTTTTTCCACTTTCTTTCTGCAAGTCATAAGTACAGGACTGGTTCATCAACCAGCAGTCCTATATACACACCAAACTGTTCCAACAAATTTATTTGATCCAAATGAGTAGTTACATAGTATCTAATTATTTTGGCTAAACTTCAGTTAAGCCATATGACAACCAAACAGACAATGTGCTAATTTTGCTTGTTTTACACCATCTGTTTAAATAAACTACAATGGTCAAGTGGTGTTCCTTTACTACAGTGCAACAGATAAATTTAACATAGAATTTTAGCTTTTCTGATAAATATTCATCAGTTTCTTCCTAATGATCAGAATACTGAAAGTCATGAGACAAGCCACTTGAAGCATAACGTGTCCCAATCCAAAGATGTTTCTCGGTCTTTGGAAACCAATTTTAAGAGAGTTGCTCAGAAACTTCAGGCAAATGCGTGCACACGGAGGGCCTGTACATTCAAGACTGGTCCTTTGGCATTCTTCTTAGGAAGCTGTTTTTATAAACAGCAGTCGTGGAGTAGCCAGGCTGCCATGCTTACTGGAAAAAAAAAAATAAAGTAAATAAATTATAGTAATTATATACTTTTTGGAAAAGTCTAAAACCCCCTGCAAACCTGTAGAGAAAGGGAAAAAAATGTTTGAGTACTGAAACAGTTGTTTCACAAGTTAGGTATCAGCCAAGGTAGAAAAAGAAAAAAGACCATCACTGAACATATATTTTGGCTCTTGTTGATATTGTATTACAATGTTCATCTACATTATCACATTAATCTTATTATTTGTTTGTTTTACATAAATTAGCTCAAGTGTTCTTCAAGATCCATCATCTTACCGAGAGTGCTACAGTACATCCTCTCCCACATTTGTAGCATCTTTGTCAGTATTGCCTCTTCGAGTGCTGTAATCCAGTAATGACTGGTCAACATTATTGATAATATACAACAAAGCAAACAGAAAGCTACATGGAATGAAGAAGTCCACAGAAACCACCACAGGACTACATACCACTCATCACAAGGACCACCCCACACAAGCAGCACCCGTGCCTGCAGCTACTCTTTCACCTCTTATAGTCAAAACAGCCAAATTTGTTTGATGAGATACGAAATATTACCTGTTCATTCCTGTTAGCAGAAACAAACAGGTCAATAAAACTTCATCAATAACAGCATATTTGGCTTTTTTTCTTTCTTTTTTTTTTAAAGACTCCAATCAAAGCTAAAATAAATAGCAAATTAATATCAGATGTTCCAAAACGTAATTAAAATCCTTCATGCGACTAAAGAGATTACAATATACTTTGTAAACTATGCCTACATACTATTTGGGCTGTTTATATTTCTCTTATAAATACAAATAATGATAAGATTCTGCAGGAATAAATTATTATACCACCACCAAATGCTCCCTTGTCAAGTTCTATCCTCCACTATAGATTGTATTATATGTATGTGAATCTACCTCACTGATACCCTCAGTTTGTCAAGTCCAACACCTAAGTGTAAGACTTTGAAGTCCACAACAGGAAAGCCACCGAGTTTCATACAACGCTTCTCTGGAAATGTGTCACTGGTATAGAACACACTTCCCATTGTACAGGTAAATTTAATCAATAGAAAGTTTTAAAAATCTAAAAAATGAGATGCATTTCTTTGACCATATTCACAGCCCTGAAATCTAAGAATTAGCTATGGTACATAAGCTAATGCAAATGAAACAAAATCTTTGTCGTGGTATTCACAGCAGTCGCATTGCCTCAGAAAGGGACATAGCCAAGCATCAACATATGAAAAATGTTGTATGTAACAACACAATTTAAACCACTACTCACCTAATTCATTATTTTAAAACACTACATGCTTTACTACCAGCTGAAATTGGCTGTTTTTTTTTTTTTTTTTTAATTTAATTGTGATTATCAAAAATGTGATTAAAACCAGCATAGGTCATTTGAGACTGAGCTAAACCCTACAGCTCTGTGTAGGAAAAATAACACTGTAGTAGAGAAATACATTATCCAGGAAGCCTTACGAAAAGTACAAAGTTTCAACATGCAACACTAAGATTATACAAAGCTTGGATAGAAAGAAAAGGTGGAAAATTAATGAGTAGCTGAGAAGCAAGCAACACAAAGCCATTACAAGGACAAAGCTATTTCAAGGGTTAGTCAGCAAAGTTCAATAAAACATAACTTTACCGCTTTCCTTTTTTGCTGTTTTTGTGGTAAAACACACAACAACAACAAACAGCAATGGCTCCAACGATGCCGAAGAACACTTTGATGGGGCAGAGGGGAAAAATTATTTTAAAAAAAACCCCCAAAGAAACATATTAAAAAAAAGCTTAGTGACTGGAAACCTATTAGATGTCAATAAGGCCACAAAGGTAATAATGACACAAGGATATAGGAGACTGTTATAATGATGATACAATTTCAAATAAGGATAATCCTGGCAAATAACTGAGTAGTATTTAACAAAAGAAGGTGGAAAACAAAATCAGACTTGTCAAATAGTCTTCAAGTGAGGAGACAGTCAATGAAATAAACCAAGGTAAAGAATTCTCATTAATTTAAAAAAAAAAGGAAAAGAAAAGAAAGACTGCATTCTTCTGCAATCTTGTTATTTTCAATTTTACTGAAATGTGATCCCCTTTGGACTGTGCAGAACATACTATGAACATACTATAGTTGTTAACTCAGGTAATAAGATAATAGGTCACTAGTGTGGCATAACTACAGTTATTATAAATCACTTTAGTGCAGAACCACACTGGTTTACAAAGCCAACATTTGCAGCTTGTTTAACTTTCCATCAGACAGAGGTGTGCTGCGGCTGCAGGACATCCTAGACTTAATGGTTTTCCAGCATTGTGTATTGATCTAATTATATAAATAATTAGTGTAACCAACAAGTTAACCCAATCACCAACTGTAATTTTTTTAATGTACAGTCATTAAAAAAAAGGCAAAAAACAAAAATAAACAAACCTTAATATAACATAAATGAAAAAAAAATACTATATTATACTAAAATACTGCCATTTAAATACTAATTACTCATATGTT